TGATCTCTCTGAGCCCCACACGTCTTTCCTCTTATTCCTACTTCTTTTTCTTTTTCTAGCATAAAGCCCCACACGTCTTTTTTACTGTACATTCCCTTTCTTAAACTGGTGATCTGGCCAAAAAAAAAACTGTTTTAGGACACGAGATTTCTTAGGATAATTCCAAGATCTCTCTTTCAATTTCTTTCTTTTTTCTTTCTTTGTTAATCGAGAATCATCTTTCTTGAATTATCTTCCTCACGAGTTCAATTGTTTCGTAAACAACGTTTTCCATTGGGTTCAACCTCGACACCCGAATCGAATAGAAAATTGAGTTAGAACACACTTTTGTCTCCATGTTTCTCTCCTTGTAGAATATGAAAGAGTCTTGCAAAAGACCGTCCCTGAATTTGATGAATTTGATCCTTAACAAACAAATTAATATTTTGTTTGGTCGAAGAACAAATAAATATTGGTGATCTGCCCATAAAAAACTATTTTAGGACGCGAGATTTCTCTGTATAATTCAAGATCTCTCTTTGAATTTTTTTTTCTTTTTTTAATCAAGTATCGTCTTTTTCGAATTATCGTCCTAGCAAATTCAATCGTTTCGAAAACAACGTTTCCCATTGGGTTCGACCTCGATCCGAATCGAATAGAAAATTACTTTAACACGCTTTTGTCTTCATGGTTCTCTTCCCATACAGTATGAAAGAGTCTTGCAAAAGATCGTCCCTGAATTTGATCCTGAACAAACAAATTAATACTATTCTTTGCTCAAAGAACAAATTAATACTAGTGATCTCCCCTATAAAAACCTATTTTCGGACACGAAATTTCTTAGGATAATTTCAAGATCTCTTTCAATTTCTTTTTCTTTTGAATCAGGTATCATCTTTTTCGAATTTTCTTCCCCACGGATTCAATCGTTTTGAAGACGACGTTTTCCATCGGGTTCTACCTCAACCGATCGAATCGAGCAGAAAATTAAATTAGAACACAATTTTGTATTCATGGTTCTCTCCTCGTACAATATGAAAGAGTCTTGCAAAGGACCATCCCTGAATTCGATCCTTAATGAACAAATTAATACTTTATTTGGAGGTTTTTTTCAGACAGGCCATTTTCTATCAGTTTCCGGGAAATTTCAAGGAAGTTTCTCATTCGCCATGAAAAAGTCGCGAACGAGTCCTTGAACAGTTGGATGTCCTTTTATTCTCTTTCTCTCTTTTATTTATTTATTTATTTTTGCAACTTTTGCGCTTAGTTGGTGAGTCATGAACCATTTTGCAAGATCAGCGGATCTAATTAAGTTTAACATTAAACGAGCGTACTCATTTCGCGAAAAATAAATGATTTGATAAATTTTTTTCTAAAAATGTCCGTTTGTGTCGCTTACGTAAATGAAAGAATGAGAAATATTTTTTTATCGTCTTACGAAAATATTTAGATATAAATTGGTGTCGATAATGGAAATAACTTTCATCGAATGATTATTTCAAGAGATGCAAACGATCATTTTTAGGAAAATATTTTTTAGGTCGTTCAATTTCCGCGAAACAACCGGAATATAAGGAACATGACATTACAAAGAGACTAAAATAGCAAGAATCGTGCAAACAAGTGGGCACGTGCCAAGACCACTCAGCACCTTTATTCTGTTTATGCTAAGACACATATTATGACTATACTGTTTCATTTCTCTTATTTATGCATACTGACATGAACATCGGAGGGTTGATGCGAAGGTCGAAACTGGAACGTATGCGACCGATCTTGTCATGACCTCGAGACCAATTCGCACTCTTACTACCGTGTATCTTCAAGAATAAGTATCTCGACGTTTATTCATTACATGTATGTACCAATAATTGCGTTATGATAAATATCGAAGAATTTAAAGCCTGTCGAACTCGTGATTGGGTAAACCATATCTTCAAGCTTAATAATACATATTATATAATACTTTTTCAGGGTGAAGGACGTCCTTAGGGAACTTTATATGTCCCTTTTGGACCCAATTGAATCGGACGAATGCGATTGATCACCTAAAGAATAATGCACAATTTGAATGGAAAAGTGATGTTGATTTGAATAGGAAAGGGATGCAAGCTTTTGGATCACCTCAGCCTGGTATGAAAAGAACATAGGAGGCTGAGGTGACACTCGAGAATCGTGTGTGACACTCATCAAAAGCATCTATCTTTTGGTAATAGCAAATATCAAGCGGAGATCACTAATTCCTATTTTTTGTAACTCGTTAGCTTATTTAGTTGTTTGGAGAATCGATTTGGTATGACTTGAGTTCATACTAATTAATATTATGGTGTAGTTATATGTAAAATATTGTAACTTGTGTATGCGACAGCTTCTTAAGGTGTTTGGCAGGCTCCTCACAACTATCGGAGGTGACAAAAAAATTTTTTGAAACCACCTCACCTAGTTTTGATGTGGGTAGGGCTTCAATATATATGACAAACATACAAATTGCGGTGCTTTTGCAGCACTTTTATAATTCATACAAAACTATACCAAACAGAAATAATACAATGGAAATGTTGCAACTATAAGCTGTTTGTCAGGCACCTTATAAGAGATGAATTACCCATATTCACAACCGAAAACTATTATGGAAAAAGTCTAGCCTAATGTGTCTTGACTAGAGGTGATCAATGGGTGGACCTAGAATGAGTAGGGTCCTAAAATCGGGCCTAATGCATTACCCAACCTCGGCATAAATAACTCTACATAAAAAAAAAAAAATCAGGTTGGGTCGAGCCGTATCGCCGCAGGCTCACTCAAATCGGGTTAGACTTTATAACTAAACATCCTTGTTCAAACTCGCTCATAAGTGTCCTTGGGGCGAGGCATGCAATTTAAACGGAGCTTGCGAGTCGCCAGACCCATGATCAGATCTACTCGACAGTTGACACATTATTTATAAATAAATATTTGTGAAAAAACTCTCGATACCTTTAAGTTCAGAAGATCTTAATTCTCACGATTGTTGTCCTCAACCGGAAAGAAATCATTCCCTCATCAACATAATCCAACATTGATCAGAGGTTTATGATGTTAAAAACCAACCCTAATCACAAGGGAAAAAAGCCATGAAACCAGGCTCTCTCTCTCTCTCTCTCTCTCTCTCTCTCTCTCTCTCTCTCTCTCTCTCTCTATTGTCCCTCTCTCTCTCCTTTCGAATCTTGAAAAATCATCAACCTACGGGTCTTGTAAATGCTTAAGGATCCGCCATATCTTGGATTCCTCCAAATAATAATACAGGATCTTCTTCAACGTTGGCGGAGGTGTCGAGAAAAAGCAATGACAAAGAGAAAGAGATGACATAAGAATGACGTGTAAGCCGTGAAAGGAGCGCCTTCCCCCCTCTCGTAAGGGGGCAACGATGTAATTTCGTTCGACGACAAATGATTTTCGTTAGCGTAGGCTTTTGGATTGAACAATTCTAACATGGTATCAGAGCCAGATTGTGCTCGAATTTATCTTGCGAGCGTAGCCTCTTTCGCCAAATTTTACGCGTCGTTCTTAACCCGGCATGCACGCGAGAGGGGAGTGTTAAAATTTAATCCTGCATAACTTGTCTACGGGATTTATGTGCTTTTTATATACATGCGGGTTCCCCTCCACCCGTCAGCTTAAGCTTTTGGATTTGGAATTTCGGATACTTTCCAATTCGTAACAGATCGGCAATTCGACATATTTCATCCCGTAACGTTTGATTATTCTCCCCTTTCGTTGGTTTCGTCTCGCGGCACGGCGTTCCGTTAATGTAAAGGGATATAATTCGAAGATTAGATGATGTGTATGCCAATCTATCGCCATCGAGGGCAAAGAAAAATTGCTTTGCTTATCGAAGGTGTATTGTATCCAATCTAAACTCGTACTTAAATAGTACGTAGGGGTGGCTTGCGAGCTTGTCTTAGCTCCCATATTTTCATGCAGCAAATCTGGGTCTCTTGGCGCTCGAGATAAGCAAGGAGGAGGAGGAATATGCCGTTTCGATTGCTTCTTCGCCTTGCTTAGGCCGAAGGATTTGCTAATTTTCTTCATGAAATGAACCAATTATAAGAAATGTTTTCCCGATGTGTCACTTCAAATTTCATTTTCTATACGTTTCTGTCCTCTGTTGTAATCCCTTTTCGCCTTGAGCTGAATTTCAATAAAAGAAGGAAGCGCTTGCATCATCATACGCAATATAAATGGACCAAGCTTAGGAAAAAGTTAGAAGAACATTCAAGACCGAAAATTAGATTAAACCCGGATCGGGAATGCGATGATTTTCCTCGCTCGAGATCGGGGTTCGAAAACGCTAAACTTTAGAAGTCTCGAAGCCCTTATTGTTGACCGAAAAAAATAAATTTTACGATGTGCGATATGTCTAATCTTCTATTATACCCAGCCAGCTGTATATGATTCGAGAAAATGACAATAAACGAAAACCCAAGATTCATGCATAAGGTGGAGAATTGCCAGTCTAAAGTCTTGATTATTCCCAATTCGTATAATAATAACAAGAGGTGGCATCTAATACGGCACAAAATCAGGGAATAACTCGTGGTCTTGATGACTCGGGTTTTCATTATATCAATTAGGCCTGCCGATGATTCCAGTGCGCGTACATGCTCCAGCAAAGCATTAATTAATTCGTACCGTGTCTTAATTCGATGTTAACCCGACGTTGAATTGGTGATTTAATGATCGATGCAAGAAGATTCTGTACACACGCACATCTGCTAATCTCACCCCCACATCAGCTGTAGCTCATCATAGATATGCATTTTTGGGCAGTCTTGATTGGGGATTATCAATGAGGATGGTGAGAGAGAAAATTATCAGTGCATATTAGAACCATATGAAATGAACATGATAATCTAATAATGAAGATTATATTATATGCTCTAGTGTAAAAACGATTTGATAAATAAGAACGGTTAATATTTATCAGTGTGAACTATTTTTTTCTTTTTCGTTTTTTGCAATCATCTGTCAGTGGGAATAGAATGTGAAGAATGTTCAGAAATCATCATCAATCTGTACAACACAGCTACAAATCCAATCAACTCATCATCTAGCTGAGATTCCTACGAAACAACAAAGAGAAGAGACTAGTGGATCTATGAATCATATGTATATGGGTGACGAGACCAGCTGGGGCTATCCGCTATCTGCTATTCCCACGAGTACTCGAGGTAATCGGAGAAGTTGCCGACTTCTTGCTTCGAGACTGCGGACGAGGATATCTCGGTGGCGTTCGCGTCGGTGCTCAGCCCAGTGTCCTGCGAGTGGCTGACCATGGACTTGTTGTTCGACATCGCGAACTGCTCTCCCTTGATCAGCATCTTCTCCAGGCCCGGCGTCTCGTGTTGGCTCGCTGCCATCCCTCTGATGATTGCCTGATTATTGCCGCCTCCATAGCCAAATCCCAAGTAGTAGTCCGGATTCACCGAGCCTTGAAAAGACGGGCTGGGGATCGGCACTTGGCCTGAGAACATCGAGCTGAACGCCGAGCTACTCGGGTCCATTTGGTAGTTGGTATTGCTTGGATTGAATCTTTGGAATCGATTAATTTCGTCCCCGTAATTTCCCTCGGCTGATCTTGGTGCAGGAGCGCTAGTCATGCCTGGGAATTCATTCTCACTGTTCGCGAAGCTTGAGCTCGGCCTCGAGAAATAAGAGTCATCCATGAGAGGAGGAAGCGAAGAAGAAGGATTCAGCAGCTCATCATCACCGGAAGGATCGATCGGAAACAGGCCCGAAATTGGACTGGTGATGATCTTCGTGATCCCTGTGCTCTTGTGGAAAATCCTCGACACCACCCACTCATCCTGCACGAGGAACGTGTCACAAAGTTCAGATTTTTTCTGGGCTTGAATCAAAATCAGCACTTTGCACCAGAGAAAGTCACACCAGATGCAAGAAGCATAAAGGTTCATTTTACATGGTCTTTGCCTTTACAAAATACTAATGTGCTCCGAAAGCATCCAATAATAATTACGATATAAAAAAGTAAGGCGAAATCAAAAAAGGGCGAGATCGATCAAAAGAGACGACGAATCATTAATAAAGAACACGCACCTTCGAGACCTTTGGGAGATTGTAGTAAGAGAATTTTCCCTCGAGGCGGTACTCGTGCATGACCCAGTTGGTCTTCTCTCCCTTAGGAGCCCTTCCCTTGTAGAAGACAAGGGTCTTCTTCATGCCGACCAGGTTGTTCTTCCCTCGGTAAATCTCCTTGTCCTTGCCCGTGGCCTTCCAGTAGCCGGACTCGGTCGCCCGGTTCGTCCTCATCCCCGTCGGGTACTTCCTGTCCTTCTGGTTGAAGAAGTACCGCTCCTTCTCCCCCATATGCGCTTTCCCTGCAGTGAACCGCGAATTCGAAACCGACGGATAAGGAAAACCGGAGTACGCATTCGTTTGATCTTTACGGAAGAGAGATTGGACATGATGAGGACTTACTAGGCAAATCCCAGGGCTCACACTTGTTGAGATCAGCCTCTCCAATGGCGCAAGCAGCGAAATTGGGGTTGAGGACTTTCTTGGTGAGGTAGTGAGTGATGATCTCCTCGTCTGTGGGGTGGAATCTGAAGCCTGGAGGCAAGTCCACGATGTCGTCTTCCATGGTAGCTAGAATTCTAACAGATTGTCCCTCAAAAGCTCACAAACTCTCGAACTCTTTTGCAGCAGAAAGAGAGCACCCAATATGGAAAGAACAAGATCAAAGCGATCCACACACAAAAGTGAGCACTGTGGAGAAGAAGATCATGAGGGGAGAGAGAGAGAGATACAAGAAATGGGATGAACGAAGTTAAGAAAATGTAAAAGGAGGGAGGAGACGGGGCATAAATAGAGGGAGCTTCTTCCACAGCTCGCGTTTCTTGAAGATCCGTGGCCGGCAAGGCACCTTCTTCGAGATGTCTATGTGTTTCCCTTTTCTTTTCTTCTTTTTTCTTTTTCCGACGAATTTCTAATTTGTTTATTCGACTAATTGCTATCTAATCTCCTAATCTGAGACCTCATTCCATCAACTGAGCCAATAGCATATCGAAAAAAACAGTACAAAAAATCCGCCAACCGAGCCGATCACGCGTCCAATTGATAGAAAAAATCAATAGTAGAATCTAGCCAGAATACGCCTTATCCTTCGCAGCAACATGGTCGATTCAACATTCACATTAATTACGGGATAAAGGGTATTAAATACTTCGATCTCTCGTGGCTTCTCATGGCTTTCTATCATCTATCCATCTCTATGGTTTGAACGCTGAGTACCAAAATCAACTTTTTTCACCAAAAAGAAATGGTTAAGAAAGCAAGGTTCCTTCGCGGAAATGGACCCACCCCTTTTTCACTCCTTTTGACATCAAAGTCTGCCTCTTCCTTTTGTCTAGATTGAATTCAATTATTACATGACAACTTCCATTTCCCCATTTCTTTTTCGTTCTTTGGCTTCTTCGGTCACGCATCGCTAGCCAATCAATCACCTGCAACAAAAATTTAACCCTGCGAGGTGATTACCACTGCACGTTCCCCTAGGCGCGGTTAAATTTGGAATTGGTCTCCGTTCAAAACCTAAGGGTGAAAGCACGTCGATGGTCAACGCTTAATGGGGGAGGGAAGGCTCGGCTCGATATCGCCGGCTGGGCTTGACCGAGCTGCAGGTGCGACTCGACAGGTGCGCACGAGGGATGATTGTCTGAAAACGGGGAGGAGGATGGTAGAATTTTATATGTTTTGAGGGGGCGGGGTTATCTCGAGAAAGGTTTTATTTAGTAGTTGTTTTATGTGGACCGAATGTACCATGTGTAGTTGGAATACGAACGCGTTTGATCGTAACGTAATGTATTCACACATTCGAATTGGACGCGTGGAAATCCGACTCGAGATTATTGAGGTATAATTCATACTTCGCATCGATAAAAAAGCGTGAAGGATCCTGCTCTTCGGTAAGCAGGTGAAAGTCCTGCGGGGGTAGCGCCCCTGAGCTGCCAAATAGGTTTTATAGTTTAAATCCGTATTTAATTGGTAATTTAGGTTTAGACATATGAATAGTTATTATGCCGCATATATATATATAATCTCTTTCTCTTATAATTAAAAATTGTAATAAAGAGGTGGGAGGTACTAATTATAGTGAAATTCTCTGTTGAATGTAGCTCTAATTTAATGGCGAACCAGGATAAAATATTGTGTTTTGATTTCTCTTTTTCGCATTTATTTTCTATTTCGTTGTGTTTGTACATCTAATACTAACAAAGACGCTGAATATGCTTGCAATTTATTCCGTTTTACTTCATTTTAATTGTTACAGGAAATCCGATTTGAAAAAATCCGAAATTTTTGTTCAGTTCGGGTTTTGGCTGGGACGGTTCTGTTTTCACCCCTCCAATGAAAATGAGGCATGTACCCTTATGTACTTTGCAACTTTCGCGAGCCAACCCACCGATTTGATCTTTTCTAAATATATGAAAATCGAGCGTACGCATGCATGTACTTCTGGGCTCGAGAAGCCACGTGTGATTCAGCCTTGTTCGTCTTGGTTCTTAGTGGGTCTAAAGTAATTTGGATTAAGAGCTAAGTGTGTCATTAAATGTAATGTTATGCTGGAGAGAACGTCGTTATAACTTGCTGGGCATGTGAAAGAGCTGAGACAAAAGCACGTGCAGTAACGCGGGACAGCAAAACCACAGGGTTTGGCCGAGCCGACGACACTTGGCCCCATACCGGCGGCGACACGTGTCGATATCTAGCAGCCTCTTTCTTTTCCTTTTTTTGTAAGTTTATATTACTTCACGTGTATTATAAGATTTAAACAAGATAGCTTAGCTTGCATGGACGAATCCGTGTAGGGAAATAAAACCTGTCTATGACGATTTCTTGAAGAATTACTTTATGCGCAGAAGAGATTAATTAATAACTAGCCTTATGACCCAGTTTTAGAGAAAAAAAAATAAAGTATGTCAGAGCTAGTAGATGTTAAGAGTACTAAATTATTTTATCCAATGTCAAATTCAAAAGTTTAGGCTAATCATTACATTGATTAACATTAGGGGTGATCGCTTTTGAGGTAAGTAAGTTCCGGATCAAGAACCCGGAACCTCCGAAAACCAGGCCTAACTTAATATCTACTATTTTAGAAAGATAGATCATGCGAACAATCTATAACATTATAGTTAAGGTATTGAATGGAATTTCAATACCCATCTTCAACGTATTTATCTTTTTTTAAGCAATGCAAATATAAAAATAAGAGCTGAAGACCGGTTCAAAAATGATATTTCAATTCTGGAGTAGAAATACGATTCACGGTATAAAATCAGGAACCGAACCGGTCGAGGCCGATTCCCCGATTTTTTACTCGGGAGTCTACCAATCCCTCGTAGGACCTGCCTAGAATTGGTTGGTAAGACCGATCTGGTTCAACTTCTGATTGAATTAGCTCGGTTGCTCGCCCCTATTTAAACAGCAATGTGATCCCGCAATTTCTACAAAAGATAACTAATGAGTGCGGTGAAATTTTAACCCGATCGATCCATTCGTTTGCTTAGGATATCACGAGCATAGAAATTACACACAACCCGCGTGAAAAGCACCATTTATGCGGCCATATACATAGACAAATCTTTTTTTTTCTGTTGGACCGACCAAAAATGATTAGCTTTGAATTTCAACTCTTGGCAATAAGAGATGAAATCGAATCGTTTCTTCTCTTCCTTAAAAAACCCCTAATTTATTCCCATCTTCTGCACACGTACACAAGGAGAGGCCAACCCACCACCGACGCCGTAGAAATCACTCACCAAACATTTTTCAGATAAGACATCAAGTCAAAAATAAACTCATTAAAAGCAAAAAAAAAAAAATTTATTTCCTTTATTTTCTATTAATAATTTCAATAACAACTCCACTTTGACTGCATCAATGCAGCCCACCCCAAAAAAAAAATTTAAATTTTTTTTGGGCCAGTGCAGTTCTAGTGGTTTCTTTTAATTTTGGTTTGACCATGGTGCACTTTTTCTAATGGCATGAATTATCGAATGCGACTTTATTAACACACTCTTTTATAGTTGGCCTACCTAATGGGTTGGGCACATGCAATTGGAACTCAAAGAGAGGCTAGATAGAAAAAAGAAGCATGTGTCCGCAGGAGTTATGACTTTTATCAATGAGTACTGGTCAAATGTAACGTGCATAAATGACTGCTTGAACATAGTTGTATCACGGAGAATTTCAACTTCTTAACTCGACAAACCGCCCTGCCCATGCACATTTAATGAGACTTAAGTTACAGGTGGTTGCCAGGACACGACCCTTTGACATTACTTTTAAATGGGAGACACGATTCAAATACTTTGAACGCGGGATCGGTGCCATTCGAATTAATTAAGTGCCTTGACATGACCTTCAACGTTACTTTAAATGGGAGACGTGATCCGATTACTTTGAACATGGGATCGGTGTTGTTCAAACTAATTAATTAAGCGCCTCGAAATAGTAATCTTATACAGTAACGGATTCTTGAGGGACTACTCATTCGTTCAAAACAAGCGATTTAGTTTTTCTCTTCTTCTTCTTTTCCTTTTTTTGCTGGTAAGCAAAAGGCCGAGGAGTTGGGTCACGTGTATAGTTGAATTTTCATATAAGTGATGTACATATTTCTAATTCACCAATCTAAAGGTTGGTTAGAGAAAAGTTTTGTCAATTATAAATGGAAGAAAACATAGCCTGTTTCGATCAATGTGTGTACTGAAGATAATAACAGAAGTCACGACAAATAAGGTATCGTTTTTCGTTAACACATGGATGAAAAATCGTAAAGACCGATCATATTAGGATCCTCCGCAGCATAAACATATTTCAAATTTATCAACATAACCATACTTGATGAAATTTAAGTACAAATCCTCAAATCTCCGTCTATCTCGCTCGACCCTCTCTCTCTCTCTCTTTCTCCCTTCTCCGCTTCCACCCCGCGCCCAGCCATGTAATGCCACTCCGTTGCTCACTCATCGTCGTCCCATGGCTCGCTCCCCAACATTGCTGCCGCCACCGCCGCCGTCCCCGATCTCTCTCTCTCTCTCTCTCACAGAGGCATCGAATACGATCGGCGCCATCAAAATCCTACACGGAAGTCTGTCTAACAAAGCTACAAAAAGAGTTCAAAATATCGAGAGGGTTGAAACCAAAGACTGGGGTGGCGGTGGTGGTGGGACTGCAGAATCGACCGAACTGCAGCGGCCCATCACCACCCGAGGAGCGCCCTCCACAGACAGCTCGCGGCTCGAAAGGAGCGGCCGCCGGGCCACCTGGCTCGGCTGGAGCCGCCGCCCCCCCAGCGACAGAGGCAAAGAACGCGGCGGTGACGTAATCTGAAAAGTAAACATTCCGGCGCCGCCAAATGCGGTTCCAGCGCCAGCTCATCGCACTCTCTCTCTCTCTTTCTTTTCCCCCTCCTTTTATAATCGGGCTTTGAATTCGTGAGCGACGCAACCCCACCAACCAACCTTTCGACAAATCAAAACCGAACGAACTCTCGGGATTATACTAATCCCACCTCGATTAAAGTCTTCATCCCCCCCACCTCGTGTGGTGTAAGCCATTAGCTAATCATGCAAGGCACTAGCTAATCCAATTAACAAATAATAGTATAGTCATGTGGGGGCCCGCGCGAATCCAACACACGTGTTGCTGTTATACTCTCGAGAGAGGAGAGAGAGAGAGAGACCAGAACGACGTTGTTGTTTTTGTCTCGACGCTTCTTCTTCCCCGAGAGGGAATATGCTTTTCTGTAATTCCCGAGGCAGTTCCCCACCACCTAATCACCTCCTTATTTTAATTTTTTTTTAACATGCGATTCACGTTAACGAATGTACCGGCCATGCTTATTAAGTGGCTGATTAGAGAATCTTCCCGGTTTTTCAATGTGCCGATCGTCTCGAGTTGTGCGTGATCGGTAATTTTAAAGAGGGAGTTATCCCTGAGTTTGGTATACGTAACAAGTATACCGGGAGCGCTCATTAATAGAATAACAAGAAAAAAAACATTGAAGATGGTATGAGAGTTTTGATTGACTTAAATTGTTTGCTACCTACTTGTTGTCATTTTGTGTGTGTTTCTATTAGGTTGGTCGTGTTTGATTTGGTTGTCAACGTTACGATCTTGTGTTTCCCATGTAATACCTGGCTTTCGTACAAGAAAGAGTGCAAAGAATATGCAAGATACGTGTGGTGAATCCGTTCCCTTTATTACTTATGTCGTGTTTCGGAAATGGGAGAAAACGAGGGAGGGGAAAACTCGGGTGGAAATTTTTGAAGAAGTTTTAAATTCATCGCGAGATAAAAAAAAAGGACAAAATTTGAAATCCCGAATATTTTCCTCCCATTTTTTTCACCTAGCATTGAGGTTTTGGAGACAAAACTTACGAATTTTTAATGGGCGAAAAATGAAAATGATTGAAGTGTGTGTATGTATAATATAGAGTTTTAGGTTTTCCAAACTTCTGTGGATATGATGTGTTATTATAATTCACAATTCACAAGATCACGTGGACCCGTAACACGGCAGAGATTGGAAGGGGGGAAAAAGAACAAAACAATGCTTTAATCAATCACCGTCACTCGTGACGACTTTTGCCACAACGAAAGCTGCAAATGAAAGATAAAAAGGACTTGGATCGGAGTTAGGCCCCACGGTGGGTGACGAGTTGGTGACGTCATTATCTGATAATTATTATTTGATTTGGGAATTGATGACAACATTGTTTAATCATATGATTAGCTTGCTTTGAATTACATATTGTGCTCGTCTCTCTCTCTCTCTCTTTTATTGAGAAATAACTTGGACGCATTCAAGGGTCAAAATCTTGAATGAGAGATTCAAACCCGGTTAATTGATTTGGAACGAGCTAAAAAAATCGCCTGATATGTTGAAGGGAATTGTATCATGTAACCACCGTAAAAGCATACCGTTTCTTTATTGACTGCGTAATATCTTGGAATTGTGTTATCCTTTTCATTTGAATCTATTAAAATATCATGCGTAACTTGTTTACATGATTTTACATGCTCTTTATGTGTACGCGATTTCCCTCAAGTTACAAGTTTAAGCTTTTGGGTTGGGCTTTATAACATAATAACAAAACTACAGTCCATCTCTGTTTATTTCACCGGTTCATCAAATTTCATGTCTCATTCCTAATCTTTATATACATGTACCTCGCATGCGCGATATGTTATAATTGGTAAAAGATATGGCATATCCAACTTGAACTTAAAAAAAAAAAAATTAACGTTGGTCTCGTGAGTGAGAATATTGGCACCCCTTCTCATATTTGTCCAATTACTCGAGTTATTCTACACGGTTTTTTTCCCGGTTTGCCTTTGATTGTCCGTTTGATATGATGACGCATAAATCTCGTATCCCACATGAAAAGTCCGTTTAAACGCGAACACCACAATCTGTATTTCCCTCGACCTGTTTTCTCGCATTCGAATATATTTTATTTATGAGAAAAAGGATTTGTCTAACAAATGATTTCCCCTAATTATAATCACTTAAAGTTGGGACACACATGGATCAAACAAATAAAATAAGGCAAACTTGCAAGGGGAGGGGAGAGAATATCCCATCGTCAACAATCTTACAAGCGCAGCATCTGTCTGTATTCGAGCTGGTGATGAGACACAAAAACCTCATAAACCCTCCACGACTTGGGGGGAACCCAAGTGGAACACCAGATGTTTTGATTTTATTAAAGGCTGGACACATTCTTCAAAACCTTGCAGAACAGTGCAATCGATACCCACTGTTTCAAGACTCGAGACAGTTGGCCCCAATGGGGACAGATGGGATTATTGACTCGGGAAAGCAGGTATTTAATACTTGTGTAATTGGGAGAAAGCTTCGCTTGCTGGTCACATGTCACCCTTGAAAAGAAGGGAGATTTCAATACTCTTTTCCATCTTCTTATCCTCTTTCTTTGATTAATTTGAGGTGGGGACTTTGAAAGTCATTGTTCATGACTTTTCTTTTTCCAGTTGGTAGTCTCTCTCCCTCTCTCTCTCTCTCTAATTCTACACCTAACTACCCTAACCATACATCAACTAACAGTGGACAGCAAAAGGGAGAAAGCAACGACAATAATGGGGTTGCTATGTGTCATCTTCGTAGTAACTGAGGTTGTTTTCATTTTGGGGAGAAAAGGGGAAGACAAGGACAAGAGATTTTGTGCATCGTTTCACGGCTGTGGCTCCACGTTTTTCAAATTGAAGCTTAACCACTGATGTGATGAACAAAAGAGGGTTTTCCCAATCCATTAACACTTCAAGAAAATCGTGGGGCTGGCTAGGGCACACTCTTTTTGGTTGAGATATAGCAGAGACTAGTAGGATAGGTATAGTCATTTACCATTTCGTGTGTAGATTCGCCGTAGCTTGTTTACTTTTTTCGCTTCACACATGCGGTCCGATCATTCATGTTTGGCACGGATCAAATTACTTGTAACTTATAGTTTGATTTGAGAATATAAAAGTTTATATATGATTCCAGATGTCAATATTCGTAAATTTTTGAGCCACCTAAAGTCTTTCGTGTTTAATAAAAGTTAAATAATGAGATCCGCAAAATTTGAGAAATTTTAAAAAATTGAAAGTAGAAGTCAATTTGAATAGACTTTCTCACTCTTTTTCAAAATTATGTGCATGTATATATGCAATTCACTCTGATTTAGATTTGAAATGATTGTGGGAAATATTTCTAATGGGAACGAAGCAGAATATAAGTCATTTAATTTCAGTCAAGTACCATCTTAAGCAATTTTTTTTTAAAACACGATAAAAATTTTGCCGAGTATGCAATTCTTAAAAAACCTTAAGAGCCTCATGTTATATGTGATTTGGTCCCGGGTTCAAATTTTTTCAAGCTCCTATTTGCTTCCTTCTTCTATTACATATTTCATGGTAGTGGTCCCACAAGATATCGTGACATGAAATATTTTTGTACCGGTCAAATTTGTATTTTGCAATGATCTAATCAATTTCGAGAACAGAGTTGGTAATTAAATAAGGCTTACCTACACTACTTGGCGTATCTTCTACTTCTCGTTCACCTGTTCATGTCTTTTCAAATGGCCGGACCATGTAAATTCAGTGGTGTGTCAATTTCTGTTTTTCTCGAATTTATTCTCTTTCGATTATCATTCAAATCGAAGCTTTCAGATACACAACACGACTCTCACAGGAGGCTCGAAGCAAGAATTCTTGTCATGGCCATAACTTTTGATCATGGTTAAGTTACAGAGACCTCGTTCTCGTGTTCTCGCGAACACAACTCACATTCCTTTCGAGTCGATGATAAATCCTGCGAATCTTTTGGCTTCAAACCACCTCGGCATCTCTTGGGCCTTACGCAAAATAAGCTCCTAAAAAGCCACGGCAAGAGGCATTGCTTACGATCTGGGAAGAGTGTCAATGTATCCACCTTGATGCACGAAACTTGCATTCGAATACAGCGAATCGATGGACATTCATCGTGCCCAAGGGAGGTCAAAACGAGCGAGCTGCGGTCATTTTAAGGGCCACACATCTTCAAATTATTTGTTTAACGAAAGGTTCCGTGACAAGAAAGAGGTTTATCAAGTACGAAATCGATTTGGCACAAATGATTGACTTCTGCGTTGTCGACATTATGCGATGCCAAAGACTTTTCGGTTCGACTGATTCCGAGCTTGTCCGCAGTATAATCTTTCTTCTTTTTGGATTAATCAATTACAGGAGACAGATTCTGACGTTGTCCCTTGGTGAACCCTCAAAACAAATTACAAAGATACAGCCTGAAATTCTGGTCTTATGGGTCATCCATGTGAGGTCCATTGCTTTCATTAAGCTTCTTAGGCCCATCTGAAGTACCTTGTAGGATAATTATAGGGATAAATGCACTAGGAGTTCTAAAATTTATTACAAAAGTGCAATTGAGCCCTAAAATTTTCCACAAAATGCAATCAAATCCTAAAACTTTGTTACAAAAGTGCATTTGAGTATTAAAATTTTCAAAAAGTGTAATCAACGGAAGGACTTGATGGACCAATTTGACAAGTTTTATGACTTGATTGCATTTTTTGAAAGTTTTAAGATTGAAATGCACTTTCGTGACAAGTTTTCGGATCAATTGCACTTTTTTGAGAGTTTTAGGATTTAATTGCATTTTCGTGACAAGTTTTATGATTTCCAGTGCACTTATCCCATAATTATAATTAGAAGAGAGACATGTCTTGTGTATTTATTAAGGCTAAATTGGAAGGAAAAAAATGGCTATATAAATTATTCATGGTGAAATCACCTTCGACGCGGTCCATGCACTCGACCATGACCAAGTGCCTTTGGCCACTTGCTTGGTCAAGCCAGGCCATGCCCGAGCCACGATCGATAAACTTGGCCACAATGACTGAGGCTCGACCGCGCCATCACTTGGCAAGGTCATGATAGAGGCACGATTGGGCTAGTTTCTCGGTCACGAAATGCTATGATCGAGGTGAGGCGATGCCATCACTTCCCATATATGCATATCTTTATTTTCCGATTTCTCTCATACCATTTTCCGATCTGGGTGATCAAACATCATAATCATTATATCTCTTATTTATGAGGCACAACATATTTTTCACTAATGGACTGGGGACAATATGCTAAGTTAAATCAATGAGTCTCCTCGCAACAACTTTTCCTCTCTTTTTTTTTTTTTCCCTCAATTTTCTAGCGATCTTGCAATTCAAAACCCTTGAAACTGATGATGCAGATGTGGGTTCAAGAGCAAAGGCTGATCCAAGAATGTCTGGCTCATCAGATTTCTCTTCGACAAATTCGCCGCTTCTGAATCTGCGTACGACGGATACTTGCGCTTGAGTGGATTTTGCGAAGCCGAGTAGCTTGTCAACTGAGGAAGGCTTTGAAACATCTTCTGATCCAAGCTCACTTGATTCGCCCCCTGAGTCGATACCAACACGTCGCTAACATCACTAGCATTGCTGCACTGCCCATTACAATCGTCCGACAGGATGTTCCTCAGCATGGAGAAGTCCACGGCATCAAACAAGTTGGAGAATGAAGAAGAACCGTTCATCATCGTCATGGGCTTGATCGCATCCACGCTGTTGTGGTCGTTTCTGATGCTTTCTTGAGTGAAGTGCTGTTCTTCTTCTGCATCATCACTCGTTGTCGCCATTAGTGCTGGGGCATATGCTGCGCTTGATCTTTTGTAGATGCGACAGAGAACCCACTCGTCCAACTGAGACAAAGATTAGTGCGTTTTTAATTAATCTTTGTATCAAAGTCACATGGCAAAAGAGTTTTTCTGTAAATTGGGTGGGGCCTTTCCATCTTATACATTAGAAAAACCCTCAATTATGAGAGTGCGTTGGCATGTTATTTAATAGCAATCATCACTTCAATAATTTCCTAAAGAAATAACTAGGATAAGGATGGCATATGTCAGCTCCAGGAAGAGAGATTAGCACTAAACTATATGGTCCCCAGAAGGTGCTAGTGATGAAAGCAAGTCTCTCTAGAAATAGCAAATGGGGTCCATTAGCTAATTGCCTCCTAGCGGTGACCTAATAATTGGGAATATTGTTATCTTACTGGCTTGGTAATTATATTCTTTTCTGTATATTTTTGTGTGGAGGGGATCAGAAGTAAATGCTTCCATAAAAGGGACATGTCTTTGTCCCCTTTGAAGTAAGTTTTTTCTTTAATGACAAAACTCTCATGTCTAGTTCTGAGGTGGTTTTGTTCCAATAATGCATGTAGAGACCAATAAAGTAATGACACTTGGCATACAGTTATCTGATTAATACATATCACGAGATATCCGATTCAATCTATATGTTTAGACATGATCTCAAAATCACCTAACCTTCGGTAACATCACACCTAGGTCGATACCCAATGAAGTATTTTTACGACATGAAAAATTATGAATCGGTGTTAAGCATGCGTAAGGCACATGTCAATATAAGAGATCGCTGACATACTCGCATGGACAACTCTTTCAGCTTGATGGGTTTGTCGCCGTAGACAGGAACGGGAGAATTCGCCAGGCGATACTCGTGCATGATCCAACGGCTCTTGATTCCTTTGGGAGGTTTCCCCTTGTAGAACACGAGCGCTTTCTTCACGCCGAGATTCTCGCCGGTGGACGAGTCCATGACGATCTTGTCCGTCCCGGTCGCCTTCCAGTACCCCGACGCCGCCGATCTGTTCGGCCTTGCACCGTTCGGGTACTTCCGGTCCCTAGGACTGAAGAAATACCATTCCGTCTCCCCAAATGCCGCCTTGCCTGATAACATTCAGAAGTATTTAGCATCACAACACAATTCATGTTGCTCTGTATATATGCGAAGAATTATCCGAAAAAAACACTGAAGCTGTTATCACTGGAAGAAAAAAGCTACCTGGTAATTCCCATGGATCAAACTTATAGAGATCAACTTCAGCGATGATGGAGACAGGAAGAGGAGTGGAGGTCACCTTCTTTCTGAGGTAATGGAGGATGAGTTCTTCATCTGTTGGATGGAACCTGAAACCTGGTGGGAGATTGGGTTGGAGGCAATTCTTCATTCTTGATGAAGCAAAGTTTCAAAATCTTGGCCTTTTTTCTTTTGGAGAGCTTAAGAACTAAATTGCAAGAAGTCAAACTTGTCAATGATCACAACAACTTAAGCTGTAATCCTCCTACTCAGGGGAAAGGCAAGTTTGATTTTTCCATTGGGAGAGGGGGAATGTGGGAAGCCCCTTTTATAGTTGTGGGAGCTTGTTCTTACATGGAAAAACAATGCAAGAGATGTGAAGAAATCAACTGGAAAAGTTTAATTATTGTTATGTAGACTTCATCTCTATCGCCTTAATCAACTCATATTTTAAGCTAAAGAGGTTATTTATTTTATATAATTATCACGGTTGGGCAAAGATTTATCCAATGGATCGACTTCTACCTAGGGAAGGGCACGCATGGCGCCGTGAGATGGAGCTTTGCCCCTTACGTTACGTGGATGTTGATGTGGCTGATGACGTGGCTGATGACTATATTCTATTGACGGGAAAATTGTCCAAAATATCATAAACCTATTGTACTTTTGTAAATTCAGTCGTAAACCTTTTAATTGTGACTATTCGTTTCACGTTTTACTAATTGAATTCATCCGGCCAATTTTGGCCGTAAATTGCTAACGTGGATGTCGGCCCTCCTACGTGGCATGACTATATTTTATTAATTTTTTCTTTTCTTTTTTTTTCTTTTCTTCTCTTTTCCTTCTTTTCTTTTTTCTTTTTCCCTCCGCCACCATTGTCGGTAGAGGTCATTGGTTTCATGTGAGGGTCGCCCTTGCCGGATCAAGCGACCCTCGCTAGGCTAGGCACGGGCATCCCTTGCCTGAGGCTGGCGATGGGAAAATGGAAAAAGAAAAGAAAAAAAATAAATATGAAAAAAATTAAAGAAGGAAAAGAGAATTAAAGAAAAAAAGAAAAATACAAAAATTAATAAAAATTAAAAATATTAGGATATCATTAAAAAATGTCCACGTCACATTTGTCATCAAACGTATCACGTAGGACGGCCGGCGTCCATGTTAGTGATTTCGATCAAAATTGGCTAGATAGATTCAATTGGCAAAACATGAAAATGTTTGGGACTCAATTGACACAATTAGACTAAAAAAAAATTGACACAATTAAAAGGTTTAGGACTAAGTTGGCAAAAGTGAAATGGATTTAAGTTTTTTGGACAGTTTTCCCTTATATTGACATATTGCTTGGATTAAGGACCAAGGCGGGGCTAGTACTTCAACTGCCGCCCCCTTGATAGGCATCGATGGCCTCGCCCGTGCTTTGTGGAGCAACTTTCATGAGGAAAATTTGCCCCATTCATGGCAAGGCACTTCGTGGCGCGGATTTCCCACCCCCCCTTTCCAATACCTACTTTTACCTTTTAATCTCAAGCATTTTGACTTATTTAAAATCTGCAATACTCGAAACTTTCACAAAAATGTACATGTTGCTACGTAGATTTACATACAATTTTTCATTGTTTCTTAAAATCTGAATAGTATTTAAATTTTGGTGGAAAAGTAAAAGGGTACCTTTTGCTTTAACATAAGCTGAAGCAAGCGAGTCTCGGAAACTTTTTGAGTTCAATGGGATACTAGACTGTGCACTATATCTTTCTTTCTTTTTCCGGTTTAGCAGTCGGGTGATGTCTCGATAAAGCTTCTGTGCATCTCCTTGACTGATATCAAAGGCGCACTACTCCACTAGACTACTCCACATCAGTCTAGTGCATCCGGAATTTTGGTTTAGTGCTCCCAACAGGTCGAGACAGTGTATATCATAGTATTATTCTGTGTTTATGAGATCCGATATGGATTGATCATAACTGGCTTCCTTCGATCCATTTAAACTAATTATCAAGCATGGATTGATCCAAAGATAATTCTGAAGATACAAAATGTCTTTAGAAAGGCTCCTGTATATAAAATCTTAATCACGTGTCAAACATATATTGCGACTATGCAATACAAAAACAACATTTTCTTTTGAGCATGTCATAAAAAAAACAATATTTTAAAAATTATTGATGTTTGTTATTAAGTGCATCAGGCTGTTTTTAAGGAAACCTAATAATAGTTAGGGTCACATGGGCGACTTGTGTCAGATTCCCAGAATCCTAAGTAGAATCATCAATCAAGAGAAAAAAAGATGGCGGCTGAATAGTGGACGAATGAGGCTCATCCCATGTTAGGTCACGTCAAATTTTTTTCCAGATAATCTCTAGACACGCGCTCCTATTCACTTGGTCCTCATTGGTTGACACTATTGAGAGCGCACGCAAGAGGGCCAATACCTTTATCAAGAGAGATCGCCAAGATGAAGCTCAATTATGAGCTCATCAATATATTCAATTGGACTTACTTTACTCAAAAGTTTAAATCAACGAGTTATGATTTAATTAGAATATATTAATTGACCAATTCTCTAATATGAGACTTTTCTTTTAACATAACTCATACATCTATTATAGCAATCTCTCTCTTAAGTGTGAGCTTAGTATTAAGTCTGGCTCTCTTTTTTGATTCAGGTATCCTTTTGCATCAAGAAAGCTCAACTTGAATCTCCAATGCCTACCTTCATCTTGATCTCTTTCTCTAGACCGAATCATGGAGGCTGCTTTGGGACTGCGTTGCTACAAACAACACCCACATTCGAAAATCGCGTTGGTCACCCGACTCTTTATCGAGATATTCACCAAACATTGAAATAGATTGGGCGCTTACCAATCTACTATTGACTTTAATACCATTTGTTAATAGTGCGTAGCAAAATCCCAATACCGTCATCCAGAGATCATCAAGAGGGAGCCCAAGTTCGAGTCCATTAACATTTCTAATTGGACCTACATTTACTCAAAAACTTAAATCAATGAATTATAAGCCAACTAAGATATATTAATTGCTCCAAACCACACTAATTCTACGATATGAGACTTTTCTATAATACAACTCACAAGTGCATCTCAACACATACGTTGTTCGAGTCATAGTCATCCATGCCTCAAAATGCATATACTTCCCACAACTATTTTCTCCCACTAATATGTATAGGAAAAGAAAAATGAGTTTTCTCCAAATAGAGGGGTTAAGATCTAGAAATGATTGGATGGAAATGAATGAAGAAATACTAAATTGTCTCACGTTGAATCCGAAAAGTTTTGCTCTTTTCAAAATTTGTGCTGCTTTATAATATATAAGAAAAAAATCACAAATTATGCCTACTGTGACATGTTTACCTCAAATTTTTTTCTGCGACATAAAAAATCTCAATCATACTTATTGTGACACATTTATCTTTTTTTTTTGTAACATAAAAAATCCCAAACTTGTACCTATGTGACATATTTACCTACCGTCAATTTTCGTTAGATGGCTTTTCAGCCAAAACAACGTCATTGTTATTTCGCTTAAGGCAATGGTTGTCATATCAATACCGTTTGTTTTTTGGCGTCTAAGTAGGCAGATTTTTTACAGTGCTTATCGACAAAACCTTGATAGAGGGTAAATGTGTCACACAAGTACAAGTTTGGAATTTTTGGTATCGTTTTCTGCTATCCAATAAATTTGGGCAGAGTCATGTGAGTATAGAATAAGTGGGATGAAAATTAATATATATATTTTTGGTTTGGTTCTATCCTATCCTATTTTTATTGTATAAGTTACTATGTGTTCTATGTGCCGTGCATACGTATCGAAACTCTGCTCCCTCACTCATGCGTCCCCACCTCTAATTCTCTGAGAAGGTGAGAAATCGAACTTCCTATCCCCTCCTTTCCACTTGGGAAGGGAAATGGTGACCACTGAGGCAACCCCCTAATGGTTGGACAGAAATTAAGTTCACCGACTCCACTTTTGTGGCTTTTCTCTCTTTCATCCTTTCTGTTTCTTTTTCTTTTTCCTTCAATTTTCTTTTTTCTCTTTTTTCATAAAAATTAAAGTACTTGATTTGCAACATGTATTAAAATATTTGTATGTGTATAAGCAAATATATTTTTATACAGCGAGAAAATTTGATGCTTATAATTTATGAGTGTCAAAATTTTGCATTAATTTCATTAAATTATTTTATGACTCACTTTTTACGCTATTGGGTGACAAAAATTATTTATCATTTATCCTATACTTACAAGTTCGTTGAAACACCTAGAGTTAAAAAATATATTTCTAAAATTCAATGAAAGGATAGTTTTTTGGACCCTATTGACATATCCATTGGATTAACGTGCAAGGCGAGGCTAGTACTATCCCCCATCGCCCTGCTAATGGTCTCGCCTTGTGCCCGTGGGTCAATTTTCACGAGAAAAATTTTACCTTTTAATTTTTGCTTAATCAAAATTTTGCGGTTGAGGCACTTTGACTTTTAAAAATCTGCAATACTTGAAACTTTCACAAAAATGTACATGTTGTTATGTAGATTTACGTACAATTTGTCATATTTGCTTACACTTTGAATAATTTTTAAATTTTGTCTGAAATGTGATAGAGTACCTTTTGCTTTACAAACAAGTTTTGTAGATTTACGTACAATTTGTCATATTTTCTTTCACTTTGAATAATTTTTAAATTTTGTCTGAAATGTAATAGAGTACCTTTTGCTTTACAAACAAGTTTCGGAAACTTTTTAAGATCGATGGCTAATACTAGACTGTGCACTACATCTTTCTGTCCCTTTTGGTTTAGCAATCATGTGATGTCTTAATTAGTTCTCGTGCATATCGACTAATCCATCTCCCTGACTGATATCAAAAGTGCACTACTCAACAGTAGTCGAGTTTATTCAGTATTCTGAGGAGTGCTCCAACAATGTGAACTGGCCAAGACCATGTAGATCATTGTGTTATTCTTTTTTTTTTTTTGATGAGATCCAAAGATAATAATAGGGATACAAAATATTTTTAGAAAGGCTCATGTATATGAACTTTTAATCACTTGTCGTAAATGAATATATATTACAATGATACAACACAAAAGACAAAGACGATACGCAAAATGAATTAGTTGTTGATCTTAATTTTCATACATACATATTTCGATTAAGAAGACCTTCAGGTGCGAGGAGTCATGTTAATAAATGTCGAAGGGTCCTTGATAAGTATTGAAAATAAATATCCGAGGATATTGGATAATTTACATTGAGAACATAGAATG